AGATCAAAGAAAATTACAGGAAACAAAGAAAAGATATAACATGATGTATGAATTACTCAACCAGGAAAACACAAAAATCCTAATTTTTCATGCAAAAAATTATAGAGCCTCAAAATACATGAAGAAAAGTTGATAGAATTAAAAATAGACAATTTTCTCTCGGTGCTTTCAAAATTTTCTTTTTGTTTTTGTGTTTTGACCTATTTATTTGTAGATCTCTTTGAAATTACCTTTCTGGAAGTTCATTGAGATCTTTGTTAATGTTTTTAATCAAATTTAGGGAGTTTTTAGCCATTATGTTTTCAAATATTTCTGTTCCTTATTCTCTTACCTTTTCTTCTAGTACCATCATTATGTGTACATTGGCACAATTAATGGTTTCCTACACTTTTTTGAGGCTGTGTTTACTTTCTTTTTGAAAAATCTCTGTTATTCAGATTATATAATCTCTTTTAATTTATTTTATGGTCTTTCATTTATCCTTACTTCTGCCAGTTCACATCAACTCCTTTTAAATTTGGTCACTTTAGAGGCTGTCAAAAATTGCCAATACTATTTCAAGTCATTATGACAGGATACAGGAAAAAGTTATCATGGCTTATTGATTTCAAAGTCATAGGTTTTACATAGATCTTACTCTGGCTTTTTGACTATGCTAAAATAGGACATTCTGGGAATCTGTCTCTTAAGATTCCAGCTCACGAGGGCAGAACCAAAGCCAAGGCTGTGAGCAAAGATGCTTTCTTCAGTCTCCCTTCGGTTTCAGTGCCTGTCAATACTTGGAGATGTCAGAGAGACACAGCTCTGTATGTTGTCTGTCTTTAATTGATGAAGAATTTTAAAAAATTCTACATTATTGTTTCATCTGGACGTTTTAAAGAATCTTGTATTTGGAAGCCAGTTAAGAGTTTAGCCAACTTCATACTATGATAGCCATTAACAAAGTAATTTTGTATGAATACTTTATCAGTTTTAGAACCCCCAAATTCTAATATTAGTCACTAAAAGATTAGAAGATATTTTGGCTTTATAGTTTATCAATGCTGATTGAATAAAGAGTGAATAAAGAACAGGTTTGCTTAACTTGAACAAGGCTAGTAAGTTGAAGTCTATACTTTTCAGCTTATATTTTGGGCCAGACTTGTGTTTTCATGAACAGAATATTACCTGAGCTAATACTTTGCTATGAATGATAAAAGGCTTTTGGCCTGAGGGCAAGCAGATGTTGGCCTTGATAAAAGTTTCACAGGAACATACTTGAATTTGATGGACTCTCTGTGATCACTTGGGAGTGACACTAGGAACAGCTGTCTACGCAGCCAGCATGCATAGAATGAGTTCAAGAGCATATTTTGCCAGAGAGTTAAAAGAAAACAGCCGTAATATAGGATTTAGAGAAAAAGTAACAGCTGTTTAGAGCCAAAAATGCAACTAAGTATCAAAATATATAATATATGTGCAATAAAGTGATGAGAAAGGAGGTGCTATATTTTTAAAATTTATTTATTATACTTTAAGTCCTGGGGTACATGTGCAGATGGTGCAGATTTGTTACATAGGTATACAAGTGCCATGGTGGTGGTTTGCTGCATCCATCACCCCGTCATCTACATTATGATTCTCCTAATGCTATCCCTCTCCAATCCCCCTGTCCCCTGCTATTCCTCCTCTAGGCCCCCACCCACCAGGCCCTGGTATGTAATATTCCCCTCTCTGTGTGTCTGTGTGTTCTCATTTTTCAACACCCACTTATGAATGAGAACATGCAGTGTTTGGTTGTCTGTTCTTGTGTCAGGTTGCTGAGAATGATGGTTTCCAGATTCATCCATGTCCTTACAAAGGATATGAACATCCTTTTATATGGCTGCATAGTATTCCATGGTGTATATGTGCTACATTTTCTTTATCCAGTCCATCATTGATGGACATTTGGGTTGGTTCCAAGTCTTTGCTATTGTGAATAGTGCTGCAATAAACATACGTGGGCATGTGTCTTTATAATAGAATGATTTATAATCCTTTGGCTATATACCCAGTAATGGGATTGCTGTGTTAAATGGAATTTCTATTTCTAGATCCTTTAGGAATTGCCACACTATCTTCCACAATGGTTGAACTAATTTACACTCCCACCAACAGTGTGAAAGCATTCCTATTTCTCCACATCCTCTCCAGCATCTATTGTCTCCTGATTTTTTAATGATTGCCATTCTAACTGGCATGAGGTGATATCAATGTTGTTTTGATTTTCATTTCTCTAATGATCAGTGATGATGAGCTTTTATTCATATGTTTGTTGTCTGCATAAATGTCTTCTTTTGAAAAATGTCTGTTCATATCCTTTGCCCATTTTTTGATAGGGTTGTTGCCATTGATTTTAGTCAAACATTGGATACACTGAAGATGAGGCTTTGATAGATCAAGGTAAATTATAGTACCACTTGGTTCTGCCCATGAAAACACATTTTATTAAAGTACTGGTTGAATATAGCTATTGGTCAGACCTAACACATCCACATCATCAACTATAAGTTTCCAGTGGGTCAGCAACCTTACACATGTGCTCATGAACATACACATGCAATCACAAATAATATAGGTAGTCTAGATAAACAAATATAGGTAGGAAAATGCTGTAGGTTTACAAAATAGATTACTTTTGATGAAAAATAAATTTAGACATTTTCCCAAATGAAAATGCTTAAGATTATTTGTTCTTAATCATACGCTAGTAACACAACATCAAAGGTTCTATTTTTGTTTGTTTAAATTGCTGAAACTGTCAGCTAGTTGATCAAATAAATTCTGATATGGCAATGTGGGCTAAATTTTAGTTGGCACCCTTTGAACAGAAAAAAACATTGTTATTATAAGTAACACGGGAAGAATGGCCTAAATTATAAGAGAATGGCCTAAACAGATCAGCAATCTTGAATTTCTCAGAAGCAGCCGGAAAACCAAGATCTTTCATAGCACATGGGCAGTAGCAAGCATAACCGTAGCCACTATGACCACAGCCATAGCTGCAGCCCAGAACTCCTTTGACATAGCCCTAGCCACCATGGTAGTTGTTATAAAAGCTCATGGTTTCAAGAAAGTTAGTCTCAGTTGTATAGCAGGGTCAGATTCTAGAGTTTTAAGTTTATAATAAGGGCCTTAAATACCACACGAGTGGTATGTGGGGCAAACCACAGGTACTGTTGTATTCTCATTGCACGCTAATTAGCATTGAAGCCATCTGAAATATTCCTTGTAACCAACACTTCCAAGACAACATTGCTATTTTTCAGGAATGTTGAATGTAATGAAATAATGTGCCTTTAATAAGAGATTCTTCTTCTATTTTGATGACTTGTTTATTCCAGATGTCAAATTTAAGCTATATTACCAGCAACCAAGAGTAACCCATATGGCTTCCACTTCTTTTCTTGTTGCTTTTTTTTTTCCCTCAGATGAAGTATAGCTCTGTTGCCAGGCTAGAGTGCAGTGGTGCAATCTCACTCTGCCTCCTGGGTTGAAGCGATTCCCCTGCCCCAGCCTCCTGAGTAGCTAGGATTACAGGCACATGCCACTATGCCTGGCTAATTTTTGTATTTTTAGTAGAGATGGGGTTTCACCATGTTGTCCAGGATGGTCTCCATCTCCCAACCTCGTGAGCCACCCACCTCAGTCTCCCAAAGTGCTGGGATTATGAGTGCAATGTCTTCCACTTTTTAAAAACCCTACTTTCACCCAATAATATCCTTCAGCCTATCTACATATATGCAGATTTGGGAATAAAAGTGTAGCTCCAAAAAGATAAGAAAGGATGATAAGCTTGTAAGAAGAGTCATGGTGGCAGCATTTCTTTGTAAAACCTGAGTAATAAGGTGTTTCATCGCTTTTTGTGGGGCAATATCATTGACTTTGGTTTGTACTTCACATGTACCTATCATTTTATATGTGATCCCAAACCATGGCAGAGACTTTTATCTTTAACTTCATTGATTCTACATATATAGTAAGGAAAGGACTTCTATTGGAAACCTGAATTTTAAAACAATTCCAGAATTACTCAAAGATTGATTGACATCATGACTCCCTGAGATGGCACATGACAAGAGTCACATGTCTTCTGGCATTCTTGACCCAAATGTATGACCCCAATTTACATAGCAGAAAACCTCAGACAAATTCAACTGGGAATATTCCATAAAATATCTGACTTTCTAAAATTGTCAAGGTCACAAAAGTCAAGAAAAGACCAATGAACTGTGAGCAATTGGAGGAGACTAAGAGATACAAAAACCAAATTCAATGTGGACCCAAGAACAGAAAAAAAGGACATTAAAAGAAAAATGTGATTAGTACTACAATGAGTGATGGTCCTAGAACTTAAAATAAAATAAATTAATAAAAACAGAAAAATGGTAATATGAAGTCTGTAGTTTAGTTAAGAATAATGTATACAGTTAATTTCTTTGGTTTGATAAGTGGATTATGGTTATGAAAGATATTAATATTAGGGGATGTTGAATGATGGTTATATGAAAATTTTCTGTACTATTTTGACAACTCTCTCCATGCCTGAAGTCAAAAGAGAATGAAAAGAGAAGAAGTCAAAAGAGAATAAAAAAACTACTGTTCCATTTCACTGACTTGGTCTTTCATTAATTATTTCATAAATCAAGGGAATAACTTATATTTTCTTATTCTTTGGTAGAGGTTGAACATAAAGGAAAATTAGAATCACTGGTAAAAGTAGGAAAATACAACAAATTTTTCTCATATCTGGTTTTCTAGAATTTTTAACTAGTTGAATTATTATCATCATTATGGCTTTAGTATAGAAAAGACACTAAATCTTTGAAAAAAGTATTACTTGGATAAAGGGAAGAAATATTAAAAAGTCAAAGGAATGCTATTCTTTGTGAAATGTCATGCTAAAAAGAGTAAAATTAATTGGGACCCAGAGCAAGCAAGATTGTAACTAACTAAAGTTTTCTTTCTTGATGCGAAGGATGGCTTCTGAAGGTTAGAATGAAAGTCTAGTTTGAGGGAGGATTATATGAATGTGTATGAGGTCTCCTTTCATCTGAGCCCTCAATCAGATAAGTGGAGCCCAAATTGAGAGGCCAAACAAAACAAGCCTCCTTAATACTTCTGACACATTATCTTACAATTCAGAAAAACAAATTATATTAGTCAAAAAATTAGCCAATAGTATGCCACCTCCGCTGAATCATTCCCATTCTGAGGCATATAAAAGGCCTTCTACAAGGAGAAGCATCCAAACTACAGTCACCTACACTCCTTCCTACCCAGGGACAAACTTCCACAACCATCACCATGTGTGGCAGCTACTACGGAAACTACTACGGCGGCCGTGGCTATGGGTGCTGTGGCTACGGAGACCTGGGCTGTGGCTATGGCTCCTGCTATGGCTGTGGCTTCCGCAGACTGGGCTGTGGCTACGGCTGTGGCTATGGCTGTGGCTTCCGCAGACTTGGCTGTGGCTACGGCTGTGGCTATGGCTGTGGCTTCCGCAGACTGGGCTGTGGCTACGGCTGTGGCTATGGCTATGGCTCCCGCTCCCTCTGTGGCTGTGGCTATGGATGTGGTTCTGGCTGTGGTTCCGGCTTTGGCTACTACTACTGAGGACACCACAGGAGACTCATCGTCTGTCCTGTGACATCGGGGTTCACCAATTCCAAACCCCACATGCTCTGAGCTCACGATTGGATGAAGATTCTCTTATATTAAAAGTTTCTGATGTCATTTTTCTGAAGACCTGCCCCCCAATACCACTACCCTCTGGATCTAATATTTTCAACTTCCTTTTTTGAATGTAATGCTTGAAAATTAAAATAATGTAAAATTTATCCCATGAGCTCCTGTGTGGTCTCTCATCAAGATACTGCTGCTATAGATTTTGCTTTTTAGTTTTCATGCAGAAACTTATTTTCTGTTTTCCTAATACACTTTTTCAATCTGGAATTACCATTCTGATTTTCTTTTCATTAATATCCAGCATTTATCTTTTTACATTTTTTTCCTTATTTATATTATCCTAACAATGTCTCAACATAACCCATATTATCACTGCTTCAATAGAAAAGAAAACTGAGCACTGTGGAGAACTGAGCATGAACAGAGCAGAAAATCATGCATAATTTAATGGTTGATTCTTTGCATATAAAAATCATTTACTGTCAAACTTGTTCTATGTAGTTTATGTCAAAACTCTACATAAATAATTTATATTTATAATCTAAGTAACCATAATTAAGTAGTATTTGTTAGCCATTTATCATGGAGCAATCACTGTGCCAAGTCTTTACTGTACATCATCTCAAATGAGCCTCAGAATGAATGTATGATGCTTTAAAATTATCCCCGTTTTCCTGTAATCCCAGTACTCTGGGAGTCTGAGATGGGTGGATCATTTGAGGTCAGGAGTTCAAGACCAGCCTGGCCAATATGGTGAAACACCATCTCTACTAAATATACAAAATATTGGCTGGGCCGTGTTGGTGCGCACCTGTAATCCCAGCTACTTGGGAGACCGAAGAGGGAGAATTGCTTAAACCTGGGAGGAGTAGATTGCAGTGAGTCGAGATTGTGCCACTGTACTCCAGCCTGGGAGCTAGACTCTGTTTCAAGAAAAAGAAAAATAAAACTATTCCCATTTTAGAGCTGAATAGAAGTAAAGAGAAATAGAGTAACTTTGTTATTGGCAGCTTTAGTGTGGCAAAAGAGATATTTCATACCCAACTCTTTTTGTCTCTTTATGTACTCATATAAAATATTTATTTTCCTTGAATCTAGATAATTGCAGGGGTTGTTTAACCATTAAATGCAAAGTTGTCTCCTAGGATAAGCTTGGTTATTTCATTTAATGTTATTGACTAATATTAAATTAAAATTATCTGAAGAACAATTTTGTTTTTTACCCCTCTACCCAAAAAAAATCTTTCATTCCACCTTTCTCTGCTTTGTAAATTTATGCTTATCATTTTATTCATGAAATTTCAGCTCACGCATTAGACACCTAGAATCTTTTATGCACATCTCTTACGTTTTTGGCACAATCTTTTGATGCCTTTTCTCCAAATTCTAGGAAATCCCTTTTCCCCATCTCATCTCTTGCTAACTTTTCTGCCTTCAGTATTTTTTTTTTCTTAAAATAACTTTATCATGACAAATACATATTTCCTCTTTTTAGGTTTGATATTTGCTTATACAGTTGCTGTAGCTCTGTGCATTTCATGGCTTACAAATAGTATACATTTTAGAATATGAAAAAATGTGTTGAAGAGTTTTTTCTTCTTTTACAACAGTACTGTTTTTGAAAAGTAGGCTCATCATGAGTACTTAGATTGATCCTTTGATTTTCATAGCTATTTATTTCACATGGTCTCACTCTTAAAAACAGTGGTCTGTATACGTACTACTTAGGATAAAGATGTGTTCCATTAGAACTTACGTGTTCATAGGCAAATCCTTTGCATACAAACAATTATAAAGAAAAAGTGTTAATACTTCAATTTTATTTTTTCTGTTTAGCAGTGCCCATTATTTTCAAGGGTGGTCACACAGTTTGAGCAAGTGAAGGTCGTCATTTCCAGCACCATGTAACAGATCTTTTTGTTCATGTTTGTTGTGACTGATTCATGCTACATAGGTGATGATCCACTTCGATTTCCTTCAATCTTCTCCCTAGGTGTTTATCTTTCTTATATAGAATTCTAACCTATTGGCATTTTTTTCTCATCAAATCTCGACAATATGTCAAGAAGAAATACTCCCAAGATTATTATTTTTATTTAATGGATTAATACACATTTTGTACTATATGTTGAATTAAGGTAAATACTATAATTTATTTTTAAATATTACAATGGTTTTTAGATGTATTATCTAAGAGTCTTTAAACCACTTTATTGAAGTATTATTGACATATAATAAGCGGTACATACTTAATATATACAGCTTGGTGAGTTTGGAAATAAGAATACATCTGTGAAAGCATCCTCTCAATCTATGTTATAAATATATCTATACTTGCCAAAAGTTTCCTCCCATACTCTCTAATATTATTGTTGTGTTTTGTGACAAGAACATGTAACATAGTATCTACCACATTAGCAGATTTTCAAGATAATAGGAAAAGTTACAATTCCAGGGAAATTTAAAAGCAATTCTTGAAAAACCTCTGGGTCAAAAAAGAACTCAAAAGAGAAACTAAAAAGTATCTCAAGACAAATGAAAACAAAAACACAATAAGCTAATGGGATGCAGCAAAAGTAATACAAAGAGGGAAGTTGATAGTGATAAATGTCTACATTAAAAAGAAGGAAAACCATAAGAAACGGAAACTACAGACTGCTATTCCTGATAAACATGAATACAAAAATTCTTCAACACAATATTGACAAGATATATTCAAGAGCACATGTGTTTTCTATATTTTGGAAAGGTTTTCATTCAAGGTTGAACACGTTGGCGCACACAGAAACAGCTGCAGAATGGTGGCTTTATTTGCTGGGGATATGGACTATGGTCCTTGATTCAAGAATATTTTATATTCCTCATTCATGACTTTTTCATGTTTATTTCAATTTATTGCAAATTGTTTAAATTCCCTGATGCCTATCAAGATCTGGTAACACTAATGTCTTAATAAAGATTTTTCTGGTAAATCTGGCCATCTCCTATGAAAGCTTAGATTTTTCTTAATTGCAATAATTTTTGTTGCCTGATATTACAGTCTCTTAGATTTGGCTCTCCAGAAATAATAGAATTATGTGAAGACATATAAAGATAGTTTAAAACTTTATATTATTCCTCCTACTACAAAACTAGAATTTGTGCATTTTAGCTACTCATTTCATTTATTCCCTCTAACATGTTTATCTCTCCAAACTTGCAAAACATGTTGAAGTAGCTTAAAGGAAGACATAAAGAATTGGGAAAACGCCTAGTCAAAAAGAAATCTGAAATTATAAGTAGTGATTATGCATAGATTTTAAGGGATTCCAGAGTCTGTGCCATTTATTTTTCTGGCCCTTACACGAGTAGGAAATACTTACTCCACTAGATGCCTCGGTTTAGAGAGCTCTTCCACATCACAGATTTTTCCCCACTTATTCTCCATATCTATTATGAATCTGCTCCAAGTCAGGCATTCATTTTAAGAATATGGGATGTAGAAATGAAAAGGTGGAAAAGGTCTCTATTCTCATGGAACTTATGGTCTCGAATGGGGCAGGGAAGGAGGGAGAGAGACAGTGAGAGACAGAAAATAGGCAAGTAAATTCTGAAATGAATACAGTAACTTCTGATAGTAATGAGTACTTGTAAAACAATAAAAATCAAGGAGTTAAATAAACTTCTAATCATTTCTTAAAGAAGTCAATTTTAAATTGGGTGGTCAGAGAAAACACAGCTAAGGAGATGGCACTTAAGTTGATACCTGAATGAGATGAAGGATTCAGTTATTCTTTCTGGTATTTTCAAAAGGAAAAATCAGTAGTGCAAAGGTAAATGTATTAAGGAGAGTAACAACTTGGTCTTTGGAGCTACTGAAGAGCCTGTGTTTGAAGCATGGTAAATGAGAAGGAAAGTGGTAGGAAGTGATGTCAGGGGGGTAGAAGTTTGGAAGACATTTCTTTCTAAACACAATGGGAATTCTATGAAAGACATGCTCCTGGAAAAGGGTGTGATGTGATTTTCATTGCGCCATGAGACTGAGATATCAGAAAAGTAAACATTTGGTGCCAGGAGAGATCATGAGTTCTGTCTTAGTGATGTTAGATTACATATATAAAAGGACAAATATAAAGAAGATAAAAGGTGAAGAACATAATTTTGAGATTGAGGTCAAGCTGTGGAGAAGAAATTACTGAAAAGGTGAGGTTGGAGACAAACAAGATTGTAAGTGTAACAGATACAGAATTTGTCAGTAAGGAAGAGAGGGTTCCACTGACCTGAATATTGTTTCAGAGCTTCAGCAAAATGAAGACAGAGAAACAAACCATATTTGGATCAGGCAAGAAAGTATTATAAATATACTCCCAGTGATCAGAAATTCAAAAGATTGAGAGAAAAGGGGGTAAGAAAGTGGAAGCAGTAATCTTAGAAATATATTTTTGAAATTTCCTGTGAAGAGGAAAAGTGAATTAAGGAAGTACCCCGGAAAACCAAGGGGGTTTTCTTAGGGAAAGATTAGTTTGTTTAATTTGTTTTCATTGGATATAATGAAGCATTCATGATATTTCAGAGCACCAAGGAAGCAAACATATGTATTTAAGAGAATGTCATAGCCTATAAATAGGCAGAACACAGAGTATTTTTGGGGCAGTGAAACTACTCTGTGTAATACTACTGTGGTGAAGGCATGTCATCCATTTGTCAAAACCCATGAAACATGCAACACCGAGGATGAACCCTAATATAAACTATGAACTTTGAGTGGTGATGATGTGTCATTGTAAGTTTATCTGTTGTAACAAATATACCACTGTGGTGCAGAATGTGGATAATGGGGGAGATTTGGTGTTGGGAAGGACTGGAGTAAGTATATGGGAATTGCCTGTATTTTCTGGTCGATTTGCTGTGAACTGAAAATTGTTCTAAAAAATAAAGTTCATTAATTAAGAAAATAGCAATATTATAGTATATAGAGTGCTCATTGTCCTATTATAAAAATAAATATCAGCTCTTCATGAGAGATAAATAGTTCCTGAAATAAATTCAAAGAGAATTGGCCTCATACATTTTTATATTGAGGATATTGACTTATATGGTAGATAGTATCTTTTATAGTCATTTTAACCTGTTACAAAACTACCTGCTGAATAATTCTTTTGTTAGTTAACTAATGTAGTTCAGTTTTATATCTTTTAGGTCTATCAATTTATAAAATGTAGAGGCTTTAAGCCTACATATAACTGTTAAATGATTTCAACTAATGCTGGTTAATAATAATCCTAAATTGAATGAGAACTGACTGATGAAGTGTGAAGTATGAGATTTGAGGCAACTAATATTTTCTGTAGGGAAAAATTTAATGTGATATCATTGAGATTTCCCAACAGTTATAATCTCAATTGTGTAGGACTGAAATAATATGTAACCATAATAATGAGTCTGGTTTACAGAAATAGAGTTGCCACTAAAAATAAATATACAGTGTATTAAAATGCATTTGAATGGTAAATGTGTTTGAGCTGATTATTGATAGAAAAAACTTTATTATATTGAGACTGTTTTCTTTTGACTAATTTGAATTACTTATCAAGGCAGATTAATTGATGGATTATAATGATCTTGTGTCCTGAATTCTAAAGGAAGGTTAATTGAAGTATAAGTGGTTTCTTTTCTTGCACCCTCTTCACTGCTGCATAAGTTAATCCCACAATTTTGACTTTGCTTGGAATTTATAAGAGAAATGTATCAACAGTCTTTGAACACAGAACATCACTGAAGCATCAGCATCCTGATCATTATATAATCACACTTCCTTCATGCATCCTGTACAAAATAAAATCTAAGTGTTTTGAGATAATAACAAATTCTCTTGACTTTGTTGGGTCTCAGAATACCCTGGATTGTCATAGCAAAATGGATGAAGTCATAAATATTTCAATAGTTATTCAAGAGAGTATCGTGTGCCTGATTAAAAAATAGATTATTACTTAACATTGCATATCTTTACAAAGGAACATGCCTTTGTCTAATACATTGGTAAAATCAAAGAGCTAAAGAAAATAACTCAGTCATAATATTAGCTGATTATTGTGTATCTCAAAATGTCAAGAAATCTCCCATTGACTTGTGCAGAATTACAAAAAACAAAACAAAATAAAATCATGATAGGTCTATACACATTGAGGATTTTTATGGATTCTGGTTGAAATGACCATTTTACAGCCATATAATATCCTTAAATTGGTATTTTTCATTGTCCTGAGTATAATTTGTCTGATATTAAGACAGCCACTCCCAGTTTCTTTTAATTATTGTTTGCATAGTGTAGCTTTCTCTATCTTTTTGTCTATATTTTTATTAGTTCTCCATGTTTTACTTTTATATTTGAGGTGATTTCTTATAAATAATATACAGATGGGTCCGATTTTATGCAATTTGGCAATCTGTGCCTTTTGATTGTGCATTTAGACTATTTGCACGCTATGTAATTATTGTGATGGTCAAAATTAGGTTTAACATTTTATTATTTGCTTCCATCTTTGTTCCTCCTTTTTTCACTTTACTGACTTACTTTGTGTTTGAATAGTTTCTGTATTATGTTTTAATTTATCTTGAGATTTTTTAGGTTGGTCACCAGATAAACCTAATATTTGAGGTTAATCTAGAGATTATAATATATGTAACTAATCTTTTACAATATTTTCAGAGTTAATATTTTACTACTTTAGTGAAAAGAGATTAGTCTTACAAATTTATAAGTCCTTTACCTCCTTTTGTTACACTTGTCACGCATATATTACAGCAACATAGCTTCAAACCCCTCATTTAACACCATGCCTTTATACTTTCCACAGATACATGAATTTTAAAGGGCTTAAAAGAAAATAAGTATATTTCATACTCAACTCATTCCAATTTTCTATTGCTTTTTCTTTATCCATGAAATTTCTGGTTTCTCTTTAGTATCATTTTCCTGACACACTTTCTTTAGCAATTTTTTTTTCTTAGAAAGGTCACCTGGACTCCTTTATCTGAGAATGATTTTATTTGGCTTTGGTTACTGAAGGATATTATTGTCGAATATAAATTATTGGATTCTTTTCTCTCAGTACTTCATTTATATCTCCCACTGTCTTTTGGACTCTATTGTTTCTCAAGATAAATGCCCAGTAATTTATTTTTTCTGTAAATAATGTGTAATTTTTGTCTAACTTTCAAATTTTTTTGTTATCAGAAGCTTGACTATGTTATATCGGGACACAATTTCATTTGATTTTATTCTGATTGGGATTTATAGCCCTTGACTCTGTAAATTTATGCCTTTTATCAAATTTATAATATTTTAAAACATTATTTCTTCAAATATGATTTCTGTACAAATCTGTTTTTTCTCCATTTGAGATTTCAATGCCATGAATGTTAAAACTTTTAATATGTTTTACATATTCCTGAGACTCTATTTATTAATTTTAAAATCTGAAGACAAAAGTGTAGAATCAAATCAATTGGCTTTAAACTTAAAAACATAATGGATGTTAGAAAAGATTTTACCTTTACAAAAAAAAAAAAAAATCCAGTTTAAAGCATGTAAAAGTTAGGTGGAGGCAAGATTGATTTAAATTCCTTTACTTCTTATTCCAAAAATGTTTAAACTCTTCCTGTTTAAATATGCTCCAAATAAAAATAAGAAGTGGTGAATCGTGTCAGCATTCGCATCTTCTAAAGGATTTTAGAAAATGAAGTTTTTGGCATCATAGCACTTGAAATATATAGTTTAAACACTGCTTAACTAAATAGACAAATATTACCTTTTTAAATTCTAGCAACAACCCCCCATAACACATATCATCACTGCCTTACCAGAGCAGAGAATTGAGGGTTACAAGGTTGTTATTTTCTTTTTATTCCAAATCAAGGGTATCATGTGGTAGAATTTTTTTTTCCATGAATCTTTCGGTAGAATCATTTTTGTAAAGTATGAAAATATAAAAAATATATGTTAAAATAAGATATCACCACAATGGGAAAATTGTTTCTTTTAATTTAACCAGGGAAAAAAATGGTAAATACTGAGTTTTAAATGAAAAGAAAACAAATTTGTTGTTCCTGATTAAACCAGTTTATTACGAAACAGAAAAAAGACTTCTGCATTTAAAAAAGACAGGTTCTGTGACTGCGTCATCCCAAGGAAGGTCCATATAGGAGTTCACAGGACGAATTTCATATTCTCCCATTTTTCATGAGTTATAGATAGCAGATCCAGAGGGCATCAGAGGAAAAGTCTTCAGCAAAGTCATATCAGAAACCTATGATGTGAGAGAATTATCACCCTAGCGTTTGGCTCCGTACACATGGGATTCGTAATTGGGGAATCCCTATGTCACAGGGTAGAGGGTGAGAGTCTCTTATGGTGTCCTCAATAGTAGTAGCCAAAGCCAGAGCCATAGCCAGAGCCGCATCCATAGCCACAGCCACAGAGGGAGCGGGAGCCATAGCCATAGCCACAGCCGTAGCTACAGCCCAGTCTGCGGAAGCCACTGCCACAGCAGGAGCCATAGCCACAGCCCAGGCCTCCGTAGCCACAGCACCCATAGCCACGGCCGCGATAGTAGTTTCCGCAGTAGCTGCCACACATGGTGATGGTTGTGGAGCTTATTCTTAGGTAGGTAGGAGTGTAGGTGACTTCAGTATGGACACTGCCCTGGGAGAAGGCCTTTTATATGCTTTAGCATGGATGGAATTTACTAGAAGTGTCATGCCATTGGCCAATTTTATGACTAATGTGACTAGCTTGTTGTTTCTCAGCCATAAAATAAAGCCTCAGAGGTATTAAAAAAAACTCTTTTTATTTGGCCTCTCAGTTTGTACTCCCTGATCCAATTGAGAGCTTCAGTAAGAGGAGAACTCACATTCACATTCATGTAATCCTGCCTCAAAGTAGACTTTTATTTTAGCCGTCTATAACCATTCCTTATACAACAAAATAATACTTTCCTTAGTCTCAATCTTATTTGCTTTTGGTTCCAATGGTTTCATTATTTAAAAAAATCTTTCACAAGAAAAGTTGATTCATGAGCTTTTTTCTCTCTTGATGCAAATTAGTTTTCTTCTTTTGGTGTTCATTTCTTTTCCTTACTGAATGTGTCTTTTATCCCCCATGATGATTATAATATTTCAACTAATTACTATTTCTATAAATCTAAGTCTAGAAAAATGGATTATACTTTTCTATTTATAAAAATGAGTCTAATTCTCATTTGTGTTCAATTTGTACTGAAGTACTGCAGAACAAATTATTTGTTGGAATCTAATTTTTCCACCTTTACCTCCCAAATTAAGTATATGCTGATTAGTTAATATAATAATTAATATTAGAATTATATTCTAGTAGCTATCCACTGAGCATAAGATGATATACTTATTTTTATCAGTGTATTAGACAGAGAACTCTTCCTTTATCGAGATGTCCAGTGATTATTCTCTTTTTGACTTGACGTGCTGAGTTCCCTTGTATAACTCTAGAGTTAGTACTTTCTTCATTCAATTGGTATAATAATTTTTCAGAGTTGAAGCACAAGTGAAGTGGGAATAGTATCAGATTTTAGTTAAAAATATGCTTTCGTGTCTTTCAGAGAGTGGCTGTGGGAGATGACCTTATCCACTTCCCTGTTTGTAATCGGTCAATTTTTGATTTTGGATATTCTCATGATGCTTTTGAGCTAAAATACTTTCATGTATCTTTTTACACAATCTTAGGCAGTAGAATCTAATGACTTCTGTAACAGTGAAGCGACTACAAGATATTAGACATCTCATGTATTTTAACCAACTCCCTTTTAGAAATCATAGGAATGAAATGCAAAACTTTTAAGATTTCTCATTGCATCTCTTTTGATAAGTATATCAAATAAGTAAAAAAAAAGCGTCTTAATAAAATAGAATATATTTATACTAATGTTAGGATCACACACATTCATCTATTCATCCAACATGTGTTTTTGAATGTTCTTCTTGGTGTGTGTCTTGGTAGATTCATTTTTATGAAATAGACACATTTTTATGACATTTTATTCCCTATTGGCTGGATTGAGATATTAGTCTTAGAGGACATTTTCTCTATATTATTTTCAAATTCCCAGACAGAAATAACAGTAGGCTCAGTTTATCACAGTGCAAAGTCAAAGAATAGCTTTGAATTACTTGTCAGTAAAAACTAATTGAGATAACATGATCAGCCTTTCTCTAAGCTATCTAAGTTCTGAGAAAATCTCCTAAAATTGGTATATATCAATTGCTATATTTGATTAAAACAGTTATTAAAGATATTTTGTGTTTGTGTGTGCAATACTACATCCCGAATAACATTTACTAAGTTATTTCTCCATAAAATTTACTTCCTAAAGTTAATTTGTTTCTTCTGAAGAATTGATTTTTTTCTGTCTCTAATCATAACAGTGAGAGCTTTGCACACAATGAGGTTTTTAAAAAAATTTTGTGCTGTAATTTTTTGAACTATAATGAATTCTTAAGTACTTTCCATATAATAAAAGAGTAAAATAAGCCCTCTTGGACTCCTCAATCCTCTCCAGATTGAGGAAAATTCTCCCATTGTCCTTTTCTGCTTCATTGCAAAATTTCACATGTATTTCCATGGTGGATTTCTAGTCTCTTTATCACTCTTCAAACACCTTTTGGTCTTTGCTCCACCACTCTGTTATAACAGCTCCTATAAGAATCTTCACGACCTCAATCTTGGCAAATTTAGAGTTAAATTTTCTTTATTTTACTAAGTCTCTGAGTAGCTCTCAGATTTACCTACCTCTCTTTTCATTTTTGAAAAGCTCTACAGCCTTTTCCTTCATCCTACCATACGTATTTGGTTTAATTCGTATCTCACCAGCTGCTCATTTTCAGCATCTTTTCTCTTTTATCTTCTCAAATTTTGCTTGCAAATGTGAGAGTTTCCAGCTAGGCACTTGCTTCTCTTATAGTCCATCTAAACTCCCTTTAAATGGATTATTTTGGATAAATTTATTTTCAGATACATATTTGCAAATGGCTATTTTTAACGATCATCAAAAATTATCAGGAAGAAACGGAATTCATGATACTTTGTAACCCCAAATCTCTTCCCTTCTTTTTCTCTACATCTCAAAGTATACAGAAAACAAATCACATTAGGCTCCTCCAGAGGAAAATGCTTTATTGCTTTTCTATATTACAGTTGCTAGATTATATCAGAAACTGAGCTAAATTTGAGTTTCAGAATATTAAATAACTTAAATATTGAATGAGAAATGTTTATTCAAAAAATGTTTATCTGAAAATCAGATTTATCTGCCTATTTTTATTTTTTATTTACTCTATTTGACAGTGCAAAGTTTAGAAAACATGGCCTTCATGGTCCGTCTTGTCAAAGACTTGACTACACCCATGCGTACATCTTGTGAGCACCTTTCTTATAGTGCAAAGATAACAATGAACTTCTGTCTCTTCATATTTATCAGCTTTATTTTCAACTTACAGCCTCTGCTTGGAGTCATTACCTTCTGAAAGTAACACAGCAATGATAGGATCTTATTCTTCTTTTGATTCATCTTAGACATTCTCTGACTACCTACTTAGAAATAGTCTCTCACCAATACTCTTTAAATTTATCTCAGTAACCTTGATGTATTATTTAAATAGACTCGTTATTATAAAAAAATCTCATTTACTTTTCATATTTGCTTTCAAGTATCTGCCTGCATTCCCAACCATAGCTCAATCTAGAATGCAAGGTCCTGAATGATAGTAATCTTCTCTGTCCTGTTCACTGCTTTATCCCCAACTCTCATAATAGTGCCCAATATAAAACTGGTTCTTTAAAGTTTGATATATGAAAGAATTAATATGTGAACAAATAAAAACAATCAGTAGCATTTTAAAATTCTACTTTCCAGTTTTTTTATTTTGAAAATTTAGACTTAATTAAAGTTGCGGCCAGGTGTGGTGACTCACACCTGTAATTCCAGCACTTTGGGAGCCTGAGGTGGGTGGATCACTTGAGGTCAGAAGTTCGAAACCAGCCTGACTGACATAATGAAACCCTGCTTCTACTAAAAATACAAAATTAGTGGAGTGTCGTGGCACATGCCTGTAATCCCAGCTACTCGGGAGGCTGAGGCAGGAGAATCGTTTGAGCCTGGGAGGTGGAGGTTACAGTGAGCAGAGATTGCGCCATTGTACTCCAACCTGAGCAAAAAGAGTGAAATTGTCAAAAAAAAATGTTGCAAAAATATATGGAATATTCCTGTATATTCTTCACCTAGAAACACTTACATTTTTGTCTTTCATAACAAAGTAAAATTATGAACACCAAAAAATTGATAATGAACAATATTTGTTTAAGCTTTATTTCGATTTCACCGTTTTTTCCACTATTCTCCCTTTTCTGTTCCAGAATCGATTCCAAGATTCTGCATAGCATTTTGTCATCATGTCTCTTTAGTCTCTTCCTATTGGGAACAGTTTTTTAAGTTTTCCTTGATTTGATGATATTGAAATTTGAAGAGCCAAATCCTTTATAGAATGCTCTTCAATTTGGGCTTGACATTTTTGCTACAAGTAGGCTAGGATTATACATTTTAGTCAAGAATACAAGAAAAGATGTGCTTATTTCATTGCATCATACTGGGAGGTACACAAGGTCAATACATCTTTGAATATTTCTGAAACTGATTTTTAAACTCAAATTTCTATAGAATAAGTCTTTCCCTTTTTATAGAACCATGGTCTGTGGGTTTAAACTTCAGGGACTCTAATTATTTCTTTGGAACATATACAAAATGATAGGTGCATATTTATGTAAAGTTTAACTCAAAGTAAATAATATTGCTCCACAAAAAAATTAATAAGATATCTTATCATTCAATAATTTACAAATTAACACTGCCACCACTCCTTTTTCCCCACAAGATATTTATCCTTCTCTACCCTCTTTGAAGTCATCCTTTTGTTCCAAAGGCTGCATATAAGCAGATACAAAGGAAAATATTTCAGGCAAAAAAAAAGATTTTTATAAGGTGATGTCCATATAGGTTATATGATCTCGTGGTAGATAGCAATATAGTTTAAATTTGGCACCCAGCCACCAATGTAGGAGAGGAATCTCTCATTAAAGGCACATGATTTTGTTACCAGCATCCTGACATAGTAATATTGTCTTGGGTATATTGCATGGGAGGAATACTTGAGACGGTTTTAATTTTTGTGATGGTTTTAATGCCAATTAGTTTGGAACATGAGTCCAACAGTGGATGTGGTTTGGCCCACATACCACTCAAGTGCTGTTTAAGGTCCGATGCAAATTAGAAACCTACAACTCTAGAATCTGACCCTGCTGTACAACTGAGTCTGTCTTTATTGACACCATGAGCTTTTACAGAAACTACTATGGTGGCCTGGGCCATGGCTGCGGAGGGCTGGACTGTGGCCATGGCTGTGGCTATGGTTGCTAGGGATATGCTTGCTACTGCCCATGCTGCTATGGAAAGTCCTGGTCATTCAGCTGCTTCTGAAAATTAGGATTGCTGATCTCTTGAGATCATCTTCTTATGTGGTGCTATGTTTTCTTCTGCATTATTTATAATAGCAATGTTATTGTCTGTTCAAACGGTGAAAACTACATCTTAGAAACATTAGAATTTTTTTATCTAAATTATTGGAGTTCACAAAAACCTTAGAAAAATATTTCTTTGATGTTGTGCTACTATTACATGATTATATACAAATAATTTTAGCCAGTTTTTAAAGGAAAATATTTAAATCCATTTTTTATGAAAGATAATCCTTTTTGCAAACCTATATCATTTCTATTTATTTCAATTTTTATGACGGTGTATGTATGTATATTTATGTGTGTGAGATTATTCATGCTTTGGCTGTTTATAGTTGACAACTTAGATGTCTCAGTTCTAACCATTAATTATATTTAACCAGTGCTTTTTTCATATGTGTTTTCATGAGCAGATCCAAGGGCTACTCTGATCTACTTTGATCTAATCAATGCCTCACCTTTGGTATATTCAATGTTTGACTAAAGACACGGGCAAAAGAGTGCCCCTTTTCTTTCCATTTCAATTTATATCCTCAATATTTCATTCTTTCTTGATTCTTGACATTTGAATATGCCTCTGGGTAGATTAAGTTTTTCTCTTGAATTTTACATTGTTGCTGTTTCTTTTCACTAATTGACAATATATTCTTGAGCTCCATGAACTCATCCTTTTTCGTGGCTGCATAGTATTCCATGGTGTATATGTGCCACATTTTGTTTATCCAGTCTATCATTAAGGGGCATTTGGATTAGTTACAAGTCAAGGAAATAAGAGAGGACACAAATAGATGGAAAAACATTCCATGCTCATGGTTAGGAAGAATCAGTATCATGAAAATGACCATACTGCCCAAAGTTATTTATAGATTCAATGCTATCCCCATCAAGCTACCAATGACTTTCTTCACAGAATTGGAAAAAAACACCTTAAACTTCATGTGGAACCAAAAGAGAGCCTGCACAGCTAAGACAATCCTAAGCAAACAAAACAAAACAAAACAAAAAACAAAAATGCTGGAGGCATCACGCTATGACCTCAAACTATACTACAAACCTCCAGTAATCAAAACTGCATAGCACTGGTATCAAAATAGAGACACAGACCAATGGAACAGAACAGAGGCCTCATAAGGAATGCTACACATCTACAACAATCTGATCCTTGACAAACCTGACAAAAACAAGCAATAGTGAAAGGATTCCCTATTTAATAAATGGTGTTGGGAAAACTGGCTAGCCACATGCAGAAAGCTGAAAGTGGATCCCTTCCTTACACCTTATGCAAAAATTAACTCCAGATGGATTGAAGATTTAAACATTAGACCTAATACTATAAAAACCTTAGAAGAAAACCTAGGCAATATCATTCAGGACATAGGCATGGGCAAGGACTTCATGACTACAGCACCAAAAGCAATGGCAACAAAAGCCAAGATAGGCAAAAGGATCTAAATAAACTCCAGACCTTCTGCACAGCAAAAGAAACTATCATTAGAGTGAACCAGCGACCAGCAGAATGGGAAAAAATTTTTGCAATCTACCCATCTGACAAAGGACTAATAACCAGAATCTACAACAAACTTAAACAAATTTGTAAGAAAAAAAACAACAAACAGCCGCATCAAAAAGTGGGCAAAGGATATAAACAGACACTTCTCAAAAGAAGACATTTATGCAGCCAACAAACAAACTCCAAATTCTTTGAGAAATCTCAAAACTGCTTTCCTCAGTGGCTGAACTAATTTACATTCCCACCAACAGTATATAAGTTTTTGCTTTTCTCCACAGCCTTCCTAGCATCTGTTATTTTTCTTTACTTTTTATAATAGCTATTTTGACTTGTGTAAGATGGTATCTCATTGAGGTTTTGACTTGCATTTCTTTAATGATTAGTGATGATGAGCATTTTTTCATGTTTCTTGGCCACTTGTATGTCTTCTTTTAGGAGTGTTTGCTCATGGCTTTTTCTCGTTTGTAACAGGGTTTTTTTGGTTGTTGATTTAAGTTCCTTATAGATTCTGGATATTTAGACTTCTGTCAGATACCTAGTTTGTGAATATTTTCTCCCATTCTACTGGTTATCTGTTTATTGATAATTTATTTTGCTGTGCAGAACAGAAGCTTTTTTCTTAAGTAGGTCCCACTTGTCAGTCAGATGCCTAGTTTGTGAATATTTTCTCCCATTCTACCAGTTATCTGTTTATTGATAATTTATTTTGCTGTGCAGAACAGAAAGTTTTTTTTAAGTAGGTCCCACTAGTCAGTTTTTGTTTTTGTTGCAATCGTTTTTGGAGACTTAGCCAAAATTTTTTGTTAAGGCCAATGTTGAAGAGAGTATTTTCTAGGTTATCTTTTAAGATTGAGATCTCAGATTTAAATTTTTAGTCTATCTTGAGTTATTTTTTGAATTGGGTAAAATAAATTGATCCAGTTTCAATCTTCTGCATATGGCTAGCAAGTTATCCTAGCACCTTTTACTGAATAAGGAGTCATTTTCCCTTTGTGTCCCTGCAAAGAACATAAACTCATCCTTTTTATGGCTGCATAGTATTCCATAGTGTATATGTGCCATATTTTCTTTATCTAGTCTGTCATTGATGGGCATTTGGGTTGGTTCCAAGTCTTTGCTATTGTGAACAGTGCCACAATAAACATATGTGTGCATGTGTCTTTATAATTGAATGATTTATAAGTATCTCTTATCACTCAACTTATAATTATTTTTATTTTTTGTTTCTAGTATGATAGAAATTTTGTGTTTTATTATAGCCTTGGCTCTATTTCATTAGTTTTTTGAGCACGTACTTACCATTGTTTAGGTTAGCACATGGGTCTTGATTTACTCTGATAGGCTATGGTTCAAAATTTTCAGAGTTGTTGAAATGTTATTTTGATCTGCTTGGTTTATCTTATGTTACTGATTTTCTGCTGGTGCCTACCAGAGCTTTCTGAGCGTATGGAATAGATTTCAGCACCCCATTTTATGTGTGAGTTTTGGTG